TTAATCATCTTTATTCTTGTTTTTCTTCGTCTTTTCCTTCTTCTTTTCTTCTGTATTTCGTTTATGTTTATTTTATCTTTGTTGGTCTTTATTTGTCGTCGTATTTTCACTATTTCATCTTCATCTGTGTCTCATTTTCCAGTTATTCTTCCTCCATATCTTCAATCTTTCTTCTTCGTCTTCTTCTTCTTCTTAATCATCAGTACCTTGTCTCATTCCCACATTCATCGAGTCTTCTCTCTTCATAGTCGTTTGGCTTTTATTTCCCTTTATTATTATACCAGAAGAAGTATTTATGGTGTTAGAATCTATATAAAGGATTCAATGGAGACTATTTTCGTTATCCTTATTTGAATCGGTTATCTAGATATTTATACTATTTATCACTGCTTTAAAGGTGATATTAACTCTCCTTACGACCTACGCTTACACTACTTTACAGAAAATATTTAATAGTTAGTTCTAGTGAGTATTTTGGTATCGTCAACTCCTCTTGTCCTCTCATCAGGAAAAAGATTGAAGAGGGTGATTGCATATTCGTGTGTTTCATCAACCTTAATTAGTTTTCTTTTTCTTTCTTTCTTTCTTTCTTTCTTTCTTTCTTTCTTCCATTAGTGATTCCATTTTCGTCACATTTCTTAATTTTTTTTTGAGAATCTGATTGAAGCCTAATTAATGTATTTTTTTTCTTACATTCCTTCTTTCTTTCTCCCTCTTCTCCCCTTCCCTACCTCTTTCTATCTTCTTCCTGTCTCTCCCCTTTAATCCTCTTATTCGGGTCACTCCTTCTGTTCCTGAATCTTCTTCCTCTCCTTCTATTCCTCCCTCTCAATCCTCTCCCCTTTCTCTCTTTTCCTTTCCTATTCCTACCTCTTCCTTTTCTCTCTCTCTCTCTCCTTTAACTGATCTTTCTATATATCAAAATGCTGAAAACACACACACACACACACACACACACACACACACGCACACACACACACACACACACACACACACACACACACACACACACACACACACACACACACACACACACACACACACGCACATACACACGCACACACACACGCACACACACACACTAAAGTTAAATCAGGTTCACATCTAAGTGCTTCGTATTGACAGAAACCTCTTCACACTGTCGCGGTCACTTGCATCAGAAAGAAAAGTATTTTGAGAGGGGGGGGTGAGGGGAGGGGCGGGGAGAGGGGAGGGATAGGGGGGTTGAGGAGAGGGGAGAGGAGTGGGTGGCGGCAGCTTCCTCTCGTCCTTACCTCCTAACGGCCATGGATGTATTCGTGAATATCTCAACCTCACTATGAAAGTTTTCTCTCTGGAGTAAAATGCCGACAGAAAAGTCCAACAATGTAATCAAAAGTTTACAATGAAAAATTAATAAAAAAAAACACATCTTAATTAGAAAACAATAGGACCTTTCTTTATGAATGAATAAATGAATAGTGCATAAACATTCTACTTTTACTACAGAATTTTTACTTATTCAGTGAACACTTTATTACTACTAAACATCTGAATTGTGAGTTAAAGCTAAATAACAGTAAACTATAAAGGTATCATGTAGATCTTTTGTAGTTATCTGACTCTCAGTTGTGAAAGATGTAAGGGGGCTCGTCATGTAAACATTCCACAAATCATTACATTGAAATATTTGTTTTAATACGGTTTAACTTTAATTGTTTAGTATGTTTTACTATTGTGAATTTCCTTCTGTCGAATGTAAACAAACACAGCGCTGCCACACTGCACAAAACCTGACGAGCCCCTGTAAACGCACTAGTGAAGGGGACTGCATACTGGTCCCTTATTATATACATGAAAATTTCAGTGGGTTCCATAGGTGTGTGACGGCTAGTTAAGGGCAGTGTGGATACAGCACACTGTATACTCTGTCTTCGGTACACAAGGAGTCAGCGTTACCGGCACTGCGGGCGATCGCTTTCACTTTCCTAACTTGAGAGGCTTAGGAGTGCCCCGGGATCGAACTAGCGATCCTTAGGATGGGAGGAGATCTCTGTATCCACTCAGCCGTCGCATCCTGTTGTATACATAGACAATAGCTAATAACAAGCGTAAAGATGACATTTGATTGGTTGCTTCGCTTATCCAGTGTGAGGCGAGCCGCATTCAAAACAAAAGTACCACACGAGAGTAAAAAGAATCCGATTTTTTTTAGCAGTCGTGTGGTAGAGACAAAAGCCGTTTTGTTTCTGTCACAAATGATAATTTTTCGCTCTAGTTTGCCTTTTTGACGTGGCTAGTCCTCGTCTCTTACTGGTTATCGAATCAGCCAATCAGACGTCGTAGTTTCGTCAATGGATACCTCTTATGCATGTTTATGACAGCCGAGGGTCACTTCAGTAGGGGAAGAGAGACCTGTGTCCTTCAGAATATACTGTATGGCGGCAACAAAAGTGGTTTTTACAGCAGCGTTATGTGAGCTGAAGTAAACCAATACCACACAGAGGATTTACTATTATGTTATTGTCTTTCCTATTTCTTTTACATAACTTACAAGAACTTTTTTTACTATTAACCCACCAAGTTATTGTGTAACTCTAACCCAAGCTATTGTTTTATCTCTTTTTATCTAGCGGCGTCAACAGAGGGTCCGCAGTCCTGTGTGTGTGTGTATACGGCGCCGCTCAGTGAGTCTGCTTTGTGTCAGTCTGGCTGGTTGAGAGAGAGACACACGTTAGAAATTTATATCTCTTCTTTTCCCTTATGATACGAGTGAGCGTTACTGTGGTGAGGGAATGATGTTATTGCTATGTACTGTATTTATTTATTATCCGTAACATCCTCAGTGGTAGAAAAAAACAATATGAAACAGTAACGACAACAGAGATACAATTACGCTACGCTACATTACTCTTCCCTCACGAGCACTTGCGAAATATTATGGTGATATTATGCTTCATTACCCATACTTGTAACTATATTAATATTCCTATAATGATAATATAACGCATATGACTGTACCTATACTTTATACCACAACTTTTACTTATAAGTCTACTACATCACAATAGATATCAAAGTTCACAAAAATTTTATATATAAACCTTAGGACACGACACACACACACACACACACACACACACACACACACACACACGGTGGGATAGAGTTGATACGGGACCTCCTCAGCTCTCAATGTAAACAAACACAACCCACCTCTCTCAGTTGACAAGTCGCCTCGAAACCAATATGACGATTAATTATTTACACATTGCTAATTATTGTGGTAGTTAATGATCCACTTTAACCCTGGTTAGTTAATATTAAGGTTAATGATTCACTTAATACTTTATAAATCATTGTGGAGTTAATAATCCACTTTATCCTTTCAGTTCCTAACCTAACCTGATATAGAAGCTTTTAGTTGACAGGATAACTAGTCATTAAAATATAAATAACAATTATATAATCTATAAAAATATCATAATAACACTTTATATAGATATTACTAAACAATAATTATATATTACTATAAAATAATTATACAACGCCTTTCAAAAATTATTAAAAACAGATACGGAATTATCAAATGCACACGTAAAAAAATTAATAACAAATATCATGTGTAAAATTAGATCTGAAAAAGGGATGTATATTTAATCATAAAAGCCCAAAATATTTAATTCACAAACAATCATCGTTATTGTTTGTTAATATATATAAATATTTACCACATGAGAGCGTCGTCATATGTATAAAGTGAAAAAATAAAATGCTGATGTTGATTTACTCCAACACTTTATCGCCTTCATTACGGGAGCACCACTTTTAATATTTGGTTAACGACAGATGATTTTATTCAGCACAGGACACAGGTACACGAGGGATTAATAGATATGAAAGTCTTTTAACACATTCCAGTTTAGTAATTACACTAGCTATCAATAACTAGAAATTACGACAAATCAGTTAATGTGTTTTGGTCAAATCAAATCTGATTGGATTGAGGATTTGATATTCAACACTACAAAATATGCATTGAAAGCTGGTGGTGAAGGATTTGTTTATTTACAGAGAAGTAATTAAGTTATTAGTATATGTTGTGTTCAGGTAACGTTTTAATTATTCGTGTGAAGAATCTAATTGCTTATTATTATTCTGTCACAACCACGATAATTGAAAGGTACCATTTTGATTTTTTTTAGAAGTCATACCACATACAGCGGCTAGTTTATTGTGCATCCTAGACTCATCCTGTGAGCGGTAGGTTACAAAGGGTGTGTATAACAGACCCCAGTGGTGCCAGAATCAAGCAAAAAGGATAATAATGAAAATAGACTGAACCTCAAAAATAATATTCAACATTTTTCCAGCATTTAAGAGTCAAACATTTTTAAGAGACTCTTGAAAACACAATCTTATATTTAAAGGCAATGTAAACAATGTTACCTCGTCTGAAAAGTAAATTTGATTAGTGGGTGCCAGGATTGCCATAAGGATGTGAAATATGGCAATAGAACAGAAAAAACAAAAAACAACAGAAAAGAAAAAAATAAAAGCCTCAAAACACAAAAACAATAGGAAAAACACATTAACAACACAACAAGAACAAAAAGCAACATAACAGTAGTCAGGTGGGGTGAAGGGCTTGAGTTAATAGAGACATTAGAGATCTTCGGCCACTGGGAGATTGATGGTGGTGGTGGTGATGGTGGTAGTGGTGGTGGTGATGGTGGTGGTGGTGATGGTGGCTGTGGTAGTGGTGATGATGGTGGTAGTGATGATGGTAGGGTGGTGGTCAATTGGAGAATGGATTTAGTATAGATCTAGGTCTCACCTGTCTGAGAGAGAGAGAGAGAGAGAGAGAGAGAGAGAGAGAGAGAGAGAGAGAGAGAGAGAGAGAGAGAGAGAGAGAGAGAGAGAGAGAATATTTGCTGCAGAAAGAAGAAAATTGACACATATTTTACATGCAACCTTAAGCTTTTGTGTGTGTGTGTGTGTGTGTGTGTGTGTCAACGTACCTGAAGGGGTTTACCAGCAGGTGTTGTCGTCGTTGTTTCTGCTTCACCACGACCCACACACATTCCTGGAACACGAGAAACATATGTCAGCACACCTCCATCACACTACACACACACATCTCTACCTCATACTACAACTAACACACTTCACAATACCGCGATCACCTCATACGCTAACACACACCACCACAAAATACTACCTTACACTACCCTCAACCACACTAACCACACACATTACACTACCACACATCACCACAAACCACCATCATTACCATACACCACCAACACATTTCACTACCACCACCACCACTCTACCACACACACTACTACCATCACTACCACACCGCCACCACCACACAATACCCACAACCACACACTACCACCACAATAATATAGGAGTGTTGAATATCACAGCTAGAAACCTCATCATGTAATAGGATTGATTCAATTCACTTACATTACCAAATAAAAATTACTTAATGGTACTGAACGTATAATGTCACTCTGGGATGTTAAGAACGAATCTAATTGGCTCACAAAAAAAAATACGACACAAAAATGACGGGAAAAACAATAATGAAAACAAAAGAATTCCACTATAACAAAAGGCGGAAGAGGGAAAAAGTACCGTACGAGGTTTTAAGAATTGAGATCCGGATATAAAGGAAACAAGAGGAAATAAATCCACCGTGGACTTGGTATGAAAATTTTAATCAGGACTTTCATGAATACCTACGACATTCTTCACGTTTTACAGTGTTTGAGTCACGTGTTAGGATACAGGGGTTAATAATTACGTAGGGGGATTTCATAATTACGTTAGAGGTGTCATAATTACTCTTAAAGGCCTCATAATTACGTTAAAAGCTTCATAATTAGTTAAATATGATTCATATTTACGATAAAGGCTTCATAAATACGCCAGAGGCTTCGTAATTACGCTAAAAGGCTTCAGTTAGGTACGTTCATAATATTATCAGTTAAAAAATGAAAACTTAAGAAGCACTGAGAATTCTCGCTTATATAAATTATCTCACACAAAGATACATATTCTCACAAGCGTCTCAGTGTGTGTGTGTGACGGTGGACGGTGTAGCACGCTCTCTGGCTGCTGTTAGGAATACTAATTTCCCCCCACTGCGACTCACTCTTAACTAAATGTAAATTATATTACCGCAAAGGAAATTTCGTTTCTATAAATTTCTAGTCAAATATCAGTGATAATTTAACCGCGCCAAAATACCCATGAAATGCATATATATATATTTTTGTTTTATTTCTTGTGAAATTTTAAATTCTCATATGACCGCCTCAAGGGAATGAAATGACGTCATCGTAAATACAAGGAGACGCAACTCCTTTATTCAATAACTTTATAACTTCAGTCCTCAGTTGGATTAGATCATCGCATTAAAAATGACTATATGAAGATCCATCATCTACATAAGGTCAATAATTTGTGGTAATTAATTCATGATCTTTGAATGATTTTATAGGTTTTGCCAAAACATACGTCTGGTAGCACCATCATTCTCTGCCTTCGGAAGTATATGAAGATTGACAATGACATTAAATTTTTCAATCTATTGTTTCAAAATATTTATACAGCATATTGTTTTAACTCCTATGCAATTCTAAATCACATAAAATTGATGGAATATATCATTTTAACTGGGGCTAAATTAAAAACAATTTTTCATTAGTCGACGCACTACAATTTTCAGCTGAGTACGAACGAGGTTCCTCTCATGACGTCACGCTCGGGTGTTTTCGCGCGCTAAAGCTTTTAAAAAGATTTGGCCTTAAAAGTCAACTAAAAAAAATTCCCAAGTTTTTATCAGTTTTGTAGAATGATCCAAATATAACACCCAAAAATTAGATTATGAGGCTGAAGTTGAGTTTTAGGACGAGGTGGGTAGAGGGTGAGGTGGGTCGAGGGTGGGTTTAAGGGTGAGGTGGGTTGAAGGTGGGTTTAAGGGTGAGGTGGGTTGAAGGTGGGTGACGTGGGTTAAGAGTGAAGGTGGGTGGAGGTAGGTGGTGGTGATGGGTGGAGTAGATTGGGCCTCACACACACACACACACACACACACACACACACACTTTTCATCTAGTGCGGCGACAACACAGTAATCAAATTAACCCCAGACAGGTGAGTCTTAATCAACGGAGAGAGAGAGAGAGAGAGAGAGAGAGAGAGAGAGAGAGAGAGAGAGAGAGTCGTGAACACCAAAATTACTAGGGCGTAGATGTGTATGTACGTGTGATGTATGTAGTCATGGTGGGCGGGGTTGTGAAGGTGTGTGTGAGGCTTATGGGAGCTGTATGGGCGTGTTGTGGGCGTGGTGTGGGAAACGTAAACCAAGGAGTGAGTTACCTGGCTTGATTAAAGAGCTTGACAGGTAAAACACCATGAGGAAACACATGAGTTTGCCAGCACTTGGTGGGGGGGGGGGATGGGTTAGGGGAGGGGGAGGGTTGGGGGAGGGTGAGGGATGGGTGAGGGGGATGGGTGAGGGGATGGGTGAGGATGGGTGGGGGGATGGGTAGGGGATGGGGGTGGGGGGATGGGGAGGGGATGGGTGAGGGGGATGGTGGGGATGGGTGAGGGGGAGGTGAGGGGATGGGTGGGGGATGGGTGAGGGGGATGGGTGGGGGATGGGTGATGGGGGGGGGAGGATGGAGTGAGGAAAGGGGAAGAAATGGGAAAGGGAGAAGAATGTGAAAGAATACCACACACACACACACACACACACATGAGCGTGAGTTAATGGTACGGGGTAAAGTAACAGGCTGGATGGCGGTGAGAGAAGCGAGTGTTTCCCTCTCACCGCCCTCTCTCATTCTCTCTGTTCCTCTCACCGCCCCTCTCAGTCTCTCTATTCCTCACCACCCTCTCTCATTCTCTCTTCCTCTCATCCTCCTCTCATTCTCTCTCTTCCTCTCACTCTCTCTCATTCTCTCCTCTCTCATTCTCTCTCTTCCTCTCATCGCCCTCTCTCATCTCTCTCTCTTCCTCTCACCGCCCTCTCTCATCTCTCTTCCTCTCACCGCCCTCTCTCATTCTCTCATCGCCCTCTCTCATTCTCTCTCTTCCTCTCACCGCCCTCTCACACTCTCTCTTTTCCTCTCACCCTCCTCCCTTCTTTCTCTGTTCTCCATCCTCACAGTTCTCTTTCTTCTTCTCACCTTTCTTTCTTTCCTACCTTCCCTCCTCTCATCTCGCCACTGACCCTCTCACTACCTCCCAGGGGGTGAGGGGTGTGTGGGGAGCATATATCAGGTTCCTCAGCTGTAGAAACAAGATCGAACCCGTGTTTTTGGTGGTGTAGGGATGAAGGCTGACCACTGTACCACCGCTTGTGTGTGTGTGTGTAGAATCAGGTCGCCCTTATACACACTTTAGTTATTTAAAGGGTTGAGTTATACTGTGTTTGGTAAGTCACTTGGCGTTTGGGGAGTGGCGTGTGGTTGATGTGTGTGTGTGTGTGTGTGTGGGGGAAGGGGGGGGAGGAGGAAGGGAGGGTACGTGGGTGGTGAAGATATACCGCTTTAACGCGCTTCCTGAGAAAATAAAACTCCGCCTGGTTACATCATATATCACACCGATATTAACTTACCCAGCAGTACCTCTTCATACTATGAGCACCACTCAATTATTAAAATTACAGGTGGTCCAAAATGAAGCCCCAAGATTCGTCACAGGTGAAAGATACCCCTTCACCAGAACCACAGCCGAGATACATAGAGACCTGAGAATAAAACCCATCAACCAGCAGCTGCACACCCTGGCCAGCAGAGTCTGGCAAAAGATAGAACGATTAGAGCAAGAACTCCTTCAAAAGACTCCCACCAAACAACGACAACAACCATATATGGTTCCCAAAAAGTTACCAAATCTCAAAAGGTCCATTACCACCCTCGATCTACACGGCCAGGCAACAGACAACTTCCCTAGACCAGCATCCGCCAGTAGGGTCGGCGGAATATGAAATAAGGCCCTTAAAACACCCATGTATGGGATAAGGTAGGCTGTCTAGTGCCTGTACCGATGGGCAATATCTAACCCGTGACACAACCCAAACACACCATTAGCTTAGCTAAGCAGTCAGCCCGCCCTCTCTTACCTCCTCCTAAATTTCTTCAATTTCCGAACTATAACTTCCTTCTTCCACCTCTACTCTTCTTTCACCCCTTCTTTCTCTTAAAAAAAGAGGGAGGATGGGAGGGTGGGAAGGAAAGAGGGATTGGGTGTGTGTGTGGGTATTTGACGGTGGGGAATGGTGGGTAGTGTGAGTGAAGAGGGAGGTGGGAAGGAAAGAAGGTAAGGGGATAGGGAGAGAAGGAAGAATAAAGGGAAGAGAGGGAGGGAGAGAAGGAAGAAGGAAGGGAAGGTAAGGAAGGCGTGGGTGGATATTTTTCTTTCTTTCCCTTTTACAGGATGAAGGTAGAGGAGCCATTACTACTACACAGCTCAGTAGATGAAAGAGTATGTCCGTGGCACCTGCCGGGCACGGGGCCAGCTCTTCCCTCACCTCCTCCTCCTCTCCCCCTATCCACCACCCAGCCTGTATCTCCATTCCCTAGCCCCGTCCAACACCATTCTCTACTTCCGTCCAACCCCCACCCTCCAGCCCCGTCCAACCTCCACCCTCCAGTCCCGTCCAACCTCCACCCTCCAGCCCCGTCCAACCCCCACCCTCCAGCCCCGTCCCCGTCTCCCACACCCTCCAGCCCCGTCAACCCCCACCCTCCAGCCCCGTCCAGCCCCACCCTCCAGCCCGTCCAACCCCCACCCTCAGCCGTCCCCGTCTCCCACACCCTCAGCCCCGTCAACCCCCACCCTCCAGCCGTCCAACCCCACCCTCAGCCCCGTCAACCCCACCCTCCAGCCCGTCCGTCTCACACCTCCCAGCCCCGTCTTCCACCCTCAGCCCCGTCCAACCCCCACCCTCAGCCCCGTCCAACCCCCACCTCCAGCCCCGTCCAACCCCACCCTCCAGCCCCGTCCCCGTCTCCCACCCTCCAGCCCGTCAACCCCCACCTCCAGCCCCGTCCAACCCCACCT